GATGAATTTTAAAGTGACATCTCAATATCTTATATACATACACTGGTATAAGCACAGCAGGGAATTAAAAACATGTTAGCAATAGCTTCTTCTTCTAAATTTATAGTCTAGTGGCTGTACATTGAAACATTCAATCTTTAAAAAAAGCACTACATGCCTGATGAACAAAATCTAACAGTAATAGAACAGCACAAAGGATAAAAACAAATTAAAATCACTTTAAGAAACATTTATTGAGAACCTAAGATAAACACCCTTTATTCAAAAAAATTTTAAGTTAGTAGCCAGTAAACAGCCAGTTGAAATGCAACATGTAAGTTCTTTAATTAAGGCACATGTTGGTTTTGAGAACAGGCAGGTGATATTTTGAGCTGAGTTACTAATATTGGAATTTACCAAACTCACAAAAGTATTCCAAGAAAGGAAAACACCACATGCAAAGGCACTTGGCCCATTCAGGGCACTCTAAATGGTGGCTGAGTGGAAGATTCAACAACTCTTTTCTTCCCAAGGTGAGAGAGCTCCTTGAGGACCAAGACTGTGCTTTCTGTCTCTTTTATATTTACGGTAGCACCCGATACTTAAGACAGGTATTTTTTCATTTATATGCTCATTATCAGCATCAGCACAGGGAGACCCCGATGGCAAGATTCATATTTTAGAGTGCTTTGTATCCTGTATAGTGAATAAATCATTATTGGTTGAATTCACTCATATAAATTTAATATGATTTAAATGGGTTAAGCTATTTGCAGAAAGACCTGAATATTTCCAGGTTTTTTGTCCATATTTTCTTTTTAATCACTGCAGAATTTATCCCTTATCCAGTCTTTCTTTATAAAATTTGCCCCTCTTAGTACTTCTTCCCTAATATAATGCCTTCCCTAAAAAGTATGTTAATTTAGTGTGATATTACATGAATCGTTTGCTTTATACTGAAGGCACATAGATGTTTGATAATGCTTTTTCAGGTGATGGAAACAGTTTAAACCAGCGGTTGCTAACCTTTCAGACCTCGCGGACCACCAGTTGGTGACCACTGGTTTAAACTATAATGACAGCAGAGAATATCATTGTTCTAACTTAGCTTTCACTTTGCAGGGTGAAGCAGCTGACTGATGAGGAGGAGTGTTGTATCTGCATGGATGGTCGAGTTGACCTCATCCTGCCTTGTACTCACAGCTTTTGTCAGAAGTGCATTGATAAATGGTAAGTTATCTGGTGTCTTCATGGAATAGGCAAAGGTCAAATGGGAACATGTATATGAATAAAATTCAAAAAAATACAAAAATATTGTAGTTAAGTATAAGATTTTGTTCTTAAGTACTTTGGATTTTATGACATGCCTCCTAATGGTTAAAAATATTTTTATTTTTATAACTAAAGTTTATAAAATGTGGGGGTGTATTTTAGTTTTAGCAGTTTACTTTTGCTGTAAGGAGATTTGTGCCTGACTTGAGTTTAGAATCACAGGCTTCCCTTTTTCTTATTTCTACATTGTTCCTTTATGTGTGGTTAGAAGAAATAATAATTGGATCTGGAGGGAACTTGAGAGATCAGCTGATCAAGCTCATTAGTATTTTATAAATAAGAATCTCATTTAGGAGAATTTATAATTGATATACAATTAACTATACTTAAAGTACAGTTTGATGTTTTGACATGTGTACACATGCACAAAAACCATCTTCACTATACAGGTAATGAACTAGTCCATCATCCCAAAAAGTTACCTTTGTGTCCTATTGTAAAATCTCCTTCCCACCCCTTCCTTCCAGTGCCCAGACAACCACTACTCTGCTCTCAGTCACTATAAAATAATTTGAATTTTCTAGAATTTTTATAACTGAAATCATATAGTATATAACCTATTTTTGTCTGACTTCTTTCATTCAGTATAATTATTTTGAGATTTATCTATGTTGTAGTATGTGTCAATAGTTCCTTTTTATTGCTGAGTAGTATTCATTGTATGGAAGTCACAGTTTATTTATCCATTTACTTGTTGATGGACATTGGGTTGTTTCCAATTTTTGGCTATTACAAATAAAGCTTTTTTAACTTTGTATTTCTTTTTACAATGTTTCTTTTGCTAAAATAAATGGAAATGCAATCTCCAAATTTAGGAGCTAAAAACACTACTTTTTTTTTTTTACAGAAACTGCCCATCTATCCAAAAGTATAAAATCTAGATCTCTTTAAATATCAAGTGAAAGACATTTACCTTTATAATTATATAAATAAAAAGTAAAACAATATTACAAAACCACTTTCACTTATAAGAAGGACAAGGTTTAGCACATACAGTCTTGGCAAGCTTGTGGTGAAAGTGGCATTTTTATATATTGTTGCTCAGTATATAAATTGGGTACAACTGCTTTGGAGAACATTTTGGCAATATCTGTTAAATTAATATTTTTTAACCTTTAAAAGCAACTTTATTGAAGCATAACATACACACAATAAAATGTGACCATTTTACATATATATTTACATTTTAATAAATTTTTATAACTATGTAACCAACATGACAATCAAGATACAAAACATTCCCTTTCCCCAAAAAGTTTAGTACCTGTGACAAAGTCAATAATAGGAATCAGAGATCTTTGCTTATATTACAGTTGATATGAAAGTCACAGATACTTTCTTATCTCATCATGTAAATGTCATTTACTCTCTTCACTACTTTGAAATCATGGCAGTTTTCAAACTCACTAGCTTTACAAATAAAGCTTTCTATACATTTGTGGACAAGACATTTTATGGACATATATTTTGGGGGTTTTTTCTTGTATGAAAACCAAGAGTGGAATGGCTAGATCATATGGTAGATATATGTTTAAATTTTTAAGAAACTACCAACTGTTTTCCTCAGTGGTTGTACCATTTTACACTTCCACCAGCAATATATGAGAGCTGCAATTGCTCCACAACCTTGTCGATACTTGGTTTGATCAGTCCTTTTAATTTTAGTCATTCTGTAGATGTGTAGTGTTACCACACTGTGGTTTTAATTTGCATTTCCCTATTAACAATGTTGAGCATCTTTTCATGTGCTTATTTACCATCCATATATCTTCTTTGGTAAAGTGTCCATTCAAAGATTGAGAGTTCTTTATTTATTATGGATATACTAAAGTAGCGGTTGCCAACCTTTCAGACCTTGCAGACCACCAGTGGTCGCGGACCACCGGTTGGCAACTGCTGTATTAGAGGCCCGGTGCACAAAATTCGTGCATGGGTAGGGTTCCTAGGCTGGCCAGCGATCAAGGCCAATCGGGGCCTTCCGACTGCTGGCCGGGGCCTTCCTTTCCCAGCTGCTGGCTTCCGGCTGGGGCCTTCCTTCGTTCCATGCTGCCCCCTGGTCGTAGCGAGTGATCGAACTCCTGGTCTCCCAAACTCCCAAGGGGACAATTTGCATATTTAGATAGATAGATAGATAATCCTTTATCAATTATACACTGAGTGGCCAGATTATTATAACCGGCCAAATTATTATGACCACCCCATCAGTACTTCATTGACACTTCCAAAAATACTGAATATTGAAAACTAAGCAAATACTCTCAAAGTTTTATTATTATTTGCATAATTAATTCACTTCATTGTACTGATGGGGTGGTCATAATAATCTGGCCACTCATTGTATAATTTGCAAATATTTTCTCCCATTTTGTGATTTGCCTTTTCATTCTCTTAAGAATATCTTTCAAAGAGTAGAAGTTTTTAATTTTGACAAGGTCCAGTATATCAGTTTGTGATTTATGGATAATGATTTTAGTGTCATATCTAAGAAATCTTTATCTTCTGAAAATTTTATAGTTTTTAGGTTTTACATTTGGGACTATGATCCATTTTGAGTTAATTTTTTAATATGGTTTGCGGTATAGATCAAAATTCTCTTTACATATGGCTCCAGTTGCTCCATACCATTTTGTTGAAAAGACTATATTCACTAAATTGCCTCTGCACCTTTGTTGAAAAGCAGTTGTTCAAATACATGTGAGTATATTTCTAGGTTCTGTTCTGGTCCACTGATCTATTCATCTATTTCACATCAATATTGCAATATCTTGATTATTATCTAGCTTCTGTAAGTCTTAAATGAGGAAGGGTTAGTCCTCAAACTTTCTTCTTTTTCAGGGTTGTTTTGACTGTGCTAGGTCTTTTGAATTTCAATATGAGTTTTAGAATCAACTGTCAATTTCTACAAAAGAAGTTGTAAGGATTTTGATTGGGATTGCGTTAAATAAATAGTCAATTTGGAGACTTGACTTAATAATATTCAGTCTTCCAATCCACAAAAACAGTTTATTTCTCCATTTACTTAGTCTTGTTTAATTTCTCTTATCAATTTTTGTAGTCTTCAGTGTTGCATATCTTTGACAGATTTATCCCTAAGTACTTTGTTTCTTATACTATTTCAAATGGTATTTTTAAATTTCAGTTTATGATTGTTTGTTGCTAGTATATAGAAATAAAATAGATTTTTGTGTATCAATCTTGTATTCTGCAACCTTACTAAACTCATTTATTGAATTTTTTTGTAGGTTCAATAGGATTTTCTTGAATGTCTATTTAAACATCATTTTAAAAAATACTTTTTCTGGATAGAGAATTCTAAATTGATAGTATTTTTTTCCCCAATACTTTAATGATGTTGCTTTATTCTCATTTTTCTTGCATTGTCGCCTATGAAAAATCTCTATCATCCTTTTTTCCTATGTGGGTATTATACTTTTTTCCCTCTGGTTGCTTTTAATGTTGCTTTTCATTATCACTGGTTTTGAGTAGTTTGATTATGATGTGCCTTAGACTAGTCTTCTTCCCGTTCCTTGTGCTTAGGGTTCATTGAGTTTTTTAGAATTGTAGGTTTATGGTATCACCAATTTTGGAAATGTTACAGCCATTATTTCTCAAATATTTTTTTCTGTTCTCTCCCCTCTCCTTTTGGGACTACAGCTACACATATAGACCATTTGAAGTTGTCCCACAGTTCACTGATGCTATTTTCTTTCTTTTTTTTTGAGTCATTTTCTCTGTTTGAATAATTAATACTGCAATGCCTTTTCAAATTACTAATCTTTTTTCCTACACTGCCTAACTTGCCATTAATTCCCATCCAGTATATTTATTACTTCAGATATTATAGTTTTCATCTCTAAAAGTCTGAGTTATTTAATATCTTCTATGTCTCTAACTTAATGTGTTTGGTCTTTCCTCTAGTTCTTTTTAAAATATATGGAATATGGTTATCATAACCTTTCCTTTTCTTCTCTGCTAATTCTAACATCTGTGTCAGTTCCTGATTGGTTTTGACTGATTTTTCTCCTCATTTTGGGTTGTATTTTTCTGCTTCTTTTTTTGTGTGTAGTAGTTCTTGATTGGGTGCCAGACATTGTGATTTTTACCTTTTTGGGTGCTGGATATTTTTATATTACTATAAATATTCTTGAGCTTTGTTCTGGGATATAGTTACTTGGAAACAATTTGATCCTTTTGGGTCTTGTTTTTATAATTTGTTAGGCAGGACTAGAGCAGTGTTTAGTTTAGAACACATTATGTCCCACTAATGAGGCAAGACCTTTCAGAGTACTCCATGCTCTGTGAATTATGAGGTTTTCCAGTCTGGCTGGTGGGAACAGGCAATATCCCAGGCCCTTTGTGAGCTTTGGGTACTGTCCTCTCAAATACTGCTGGGTGATTCTTCAGCCTGGAGTAGTTTCCTCACATACACACACTCTGCTGAATATAGGGCAGTGGTTCTCAACTTTCTTAATGCCGCGACCCTTTAATACAGTTCCTCATGTTGTGGTGACCCCCAACCATAAAATTATTTTTGTTGCTACTTCATAACTGTAATTTTGCTACTGTTATGAATCGTAATGTAAATATCTGATATGCAGGATGTATTTTCATTGTTACAAATTGAACATGATTAAAGCATAGTGATTAATCACAAAAACAATATGTAATTATATATGTGTTTTCTGATGGTCTTAGGCGACCCCTGTGAAAGCGTCGTTCAACCCCCAAAGGGGTCGCGACCCACAGGTTGAGAACCGCTGCCTAGGGGGCCCATCTGTAGATTCGGGAATTCTCCCTTTGTGCAACTTTCTCCACACCAGTTTCTCTGCCATGTAACTCGGAGCTGCCTTAGCTTCCTGAGACTCTCAGCTCTGTTCCTTCAACTAGGGAAGGGGCCTGCCAAGTTCCACCTGGGTTCCCCCTGCTTATTCTGTGGCCTAGAAACTCTCAAGGCAGTAACCTTCTTTGCTTCCCACCTCTCAGGGATTATTGCCCTTTGTTGTCTGGTCCCTATTGGCCTGAAGCAGAAGTTGATTGTTTTAAAATTGTGACTTGTACACAGAAGAGCACACATAATTATCTTTGTAAAGTATCTCTCTCTGAGGAATCAGAAAGGAATTTGAATAATATATGCCAGCTCTAGCTTTCACATTTAGTTTTTGAAACAGATTTCTTAGTTTTGTACTACAGCCAAAGAGCAATTGATATAATTTAATTACTTTGGTCTCAGATTTCACTGAGAGATGAAGAGAAAAGCATTCTCCCTGCATACTCAAATATGGTAGTTTAGAAATTTCCAAATTAATGTTTGTCAAGACAAAAACATCCCTTTGAAAAACATAATCTTATTTAAGTGATCATATATGAGCTCTTTTTCTATCAGGAAAATTATTCTGCATATAAAGTTATCTTTTATTTTAAATCTTGAATTCTTCCATTTTGTTGTTTGTAGTGGCAAAAGAAAGGAAAAAACCTAAATGTTCTTCTGTGGGAGACTAAATAAATGGTGGCCTATTCATACAATGCATGTTTAAAAGAATAGACAACTCTAACATGCACTGATACATAATGGCCTACAGGACATACTGATGAACTGATAGTGGTTGCCTCTGGGGATAAGAATTAAAGATTGGGCTGGAGGGAGAGATTTATTTTTCACTGTATACTTTTATGCTGTTTACTTTTTTATAAACCATGTATATGTATTACTTTTTAAACAAACCTGTTTTTAAAAAAGAGGAAAAAGAACTGTTCTTTAATCGACTTCTCTAACAGGAGTGATCGACACAGGAATTGCCCTATTTGTCGCCTGCAGATGACTGGAGCAAATGAATCTTGGGTGGTGTCAGATGCGCCCACTGAAGATGATATGGCTAACTATATTCTTAACATGGCTGATGAGGCAGGCCAGCCCCACAGACCATGACCTTGAGTGAAGTATTTTGTTGCTATTGTGGGCTACAAACACGTGGGTCATGGGGAAAGAATGCAGGGATGTTGGGCGCAGGCACCGAGAACTCACTTTTCCCCACCCTCTTATTTTCGCTTTTCTGACAATTTGTCCCATTTCTTTTGATTAACTTTTCATGTCTTCCATTTATGGTAAATTAAAACTTGCTACTGTTCTAGACCATTATTTTCCTATTATTTATCTGTTCTAATATAGCTTATTAGAACTAATTGCTCTTGAATCCTTTGCTGCAGTAACAGCAACATTTCCAGAGGCTTCTGAAACACTACTATTTTTCAGGGTAGGAGCATTCTGGAATAACCATAAACCCTGGCCAGAGTGGCTCAGTGGTTAGAGTGTCCCGTGCACCAAAGGGTCTCAGGTTTGATTCCCAGTCAGGGCACATACCCAGGTTTCGGGTTTGATCCTCAGTCAGGGCACATATGGGAGGCAACCAATCGATGTTTCTCACATCGATGTTTATCTATCTCCCTCTCCCCTTTCTCTCTCTCTCTCTTGAATCAATGAAAAATATATCCTCGCGTGAGGATTAAATAAATAAATAAGTAAGTAAATAAAATAAACCATGAATGTTAAAAAGTTGTAGCCATCTGAGAGAAAATTTTATATGACTGAAAATGTAGAATACGTCAAAGTGCATGTTACTACTTAAATTAGTTTTTCTGCTGGAATCTAAGGAGTATGTATGCCCCCTTGTGGTTAATTATTGCTTCTTTAATAATTATTACTTGAAATGATCCACAGTTATTTCATAACTTTAGCTGTGTGTTTAAAACTACATATTTTTTATTTAAAAGCTTTTTTCCCCCCCTCATACTGTATAATTTGGGTGAAGACTAAAAGTTGGGTGTGATTTTGCCTTATAAATGAATTTCTGCTGGGGAATCTTCTAGAAATGCTTTTCCACAGCTGGGGAACTGTTCTAAATAGCTTTTGATAAAGTTCATGCGTCTTGGAGTTTCAGAAGGAAGTTTTTATCACAGATCCTAAATGTTATATGTCCAAATTATGGCGAATCATTCAATATTAGTTTATGGTGCTTTTATTTTAACTTGAAAGTGTCTTACTGAGGCCAAGTCCTCAGACTTCTTAGATTAAGAAAGAAGAAAATAGGATAAAGCCTTTAACCATAAGTACATAAAACACCTCTGAAAATTAGGAGATAATTTGGTTTTCTTGTGGTTCATTCCACTTCCTTTCAAATACTTTGAAGGAATTATGTTCAGTGGCATGTCAACCATTTTTTAAAATTTTACTTAAAAAGTAAATTTTTGTTTTATGTTAAACATTATGATGTCAGCATATAATAAAATTAGGGCCTGATGTCTTCTTTTAAAAGAATGTTAACATTCCATGTAACTTTTCTGACCTGTTAGTAAGTTACAAATATATTCGGAAGTACCAGAGTATACAATTTAAGTTGCTTCATATTGATGGCAAAATTTTGGGATACTAGGATTTTTCATAGGCATGCAAATTAAAAAAATTCATTTCTAAGCAAAATGTCTAACCAAATATGGCTTGATTTTTACCCCCAAAATACTGATAATGAATTGGTTGATATTCATGATAGGGGTAGATCAGTACCAAACAGCTAAACACTCACTGGATGTTTATGCAGAGTACGGAGGGCTCTATCACATCAACCTGGTGATGCCTTTTATGGTCATGTGACCTTGAGAAAGTCCCTTCATCTGGTTTGTAGGCTCATACTTTAGAAACAGACTTTAATTTTGGTTTTCACACTTTTATTTCAGCAGTAAAATCTTCTTTTTCCAAGTAAAATCTTACTCAGAACCCCCTAGCTACATGTGCTGCATGTGTGCATGCATGCACACACACCCCCTACACCACTTTATAAATTTTATTTTATTAATATAAATTTCTTTATGTAAACTTCAATTACTATAATACTAAATATTATAAAGTCAATCAATGAAAACATGTATTAATGCATTGGTGATATCCAATGTATTAGAATTTGGTGAGTAACAGGGTTATATGATGGAACTTGTTTTTTAAATTAATTTTTTACCAAAATAAATTTTTTTAAATTAAATTCAGGTCAAATTTGCAAAACCCTGACTCTCCTCCATGATCATTAGTATTCTATGGAACATATTTTGAAAACCTTGGGATAGATGATCCCCCAATATCTTTTTCAGCTCTAAGATTTTAAATCCTATGGATTAGACTTACTGAGTCCAGATCAGATTGCCTAATTTAAGAATGTTTCTGAAAATGAGTAAAGTTGCTTTACAGATCTCTGGATCTTTCCCAGGTATAGCCAGTGATTTTATCCCTCCGAATCCTTCACCTTTCAAGGAATTATCTAACACTGAGAACAGAAACTTGATATTGCCCAAACCTTTTTACTTTTCAATATGAGCTCCAAGACACTAACTGATCTACTGTGAAACAAAATGTATTTATTAGCCTTATCTAATAAATGAGCACTTTTTGCTCACTTCATTAAACTGGGTGATAATTCTTTAGATGTGAATATTAGGTATGTTATAATAACTAATCATAAAAAGTTGTAAATGTGTTAATGGATGAAATGTACTTTTTGTATTCTGTACAGCTTTGTCTTTTTTAATTATGAAGTACTTAAATGCACTTACTATGATTGGAAGTATAATGTGTGCCTTCTAGGATTTGTGAAATGGTTTCATGAACTCTAAGGAATTTATTTTATTTTATGTTGTAAAGTTTTCCCTATCCTAAATCAATAACAAAGGGTTGACTCATATTACAGTGCTATAAAATTTTAGTTTAAGAAAATAGATTTGACTACTGAATTTAGAAGTGGAGAATAATAGTATCTGTTTTATTTTAGGATAAACTGATATATTGTGCAATAAATAATCTTTAACAAGTAAATTTTAGTTCATTGAAGAGGTTTTTTCTTATCATGTAGTTTCACATTCTCATGTGCCAAATGCTTATATTCCTTAAAGGACTGTTTTGTGTTGTGCTCTGGGGGGTTGTGATGTTTGTGTACTATGTGTTAAAATTCATTTCAAATTGGACTCAATTTTCTTATACCTAATATATATCTGAGTAATAAGCCTTCTTGAAAGTACCTTTTGGTTCAGTGATTTTTAACAATGGTAAGTTGGATTTATTAAAAGGAAGTCTGAAGAATTTGCATTTTACTGGTTTCTTCTTCATTAAATCAGGCTTATCCAGGAATAAGAAAACTACTTGGAGGTTAGGGAAATCAGCTGATCACCCATATTTATGCTGGACAACACAATGACAATATAACAGTTTATAGCAGACTTTCATTTTTCTTACCTTTTAAAAATAATTGATAAAATATTCCATCCTATGACAGTTTTTTTTAAATATTTTTATGTTTTATTGATTTCAGAGAGGAAGGGAGAGGGAGAGGGAGATAGAAACATTAATGATGAGAGAGAATAATCAATTGGCTGCCTCCTGCACACCCTACATGGGATCGAACCTGCAACCCAGGCATGTGCCCTGACCGGGAATCAAACCATGACCTCCTGGTTCATAGGTCGACACTCAACCACTGAGCCACGCCGGCAGGACCTTATAACAGTTTTGATCTTTACCTTGTAAAATCATTTCTAAGATAAAATTAATGTAATTAGAGAAGCATAGTAGAATTTTAGTGCTGAGAAGTGAAAAGCCATTTATAAGGAGTGGTAGTTTATAATTAAATTTACTAATATATGTCATCATGGAGAACATATTTTGGTCTCAAAAGACATAAAAGCCTCCAGCTATATTTTAATCTTGCAGCTGTGTATAGTCTTACTTTCTGGCACCCTCTGTCTTTCTGTTAAGATATTTATTTAGAGGTTGAGGGTGTGAAAATTCCTGAGGAACTATATCTGTCTGATTAGTGTTCCTTTTATTGTAGTTAGTTACACTTGTTCTTTATAATAGTCATTGTTCAGGTATAGAATACGTAGGTATATTATCAACATAGCTCTTTCAGCTGTGCCTAAAAATCCAGAAAAAGATGAATATTGTTTCACCTACACAGCACTCAGAAACAAGTAAAGTGAAAAGCCAGAGGGGTGGTTTGCGATTCTACTTTAATCCAGGACATGAGGAAGTGGAGGCCCAGGACAGGCCTTGGTAAATACCAACCTAGGAGTTGTGATTTGTTTTCATGAGACAAAAAGCAATGACACTGATAATTTCAGCAATGCAGTTTGAAGTAACACATAATGTGAAGTTGAGCCTTTTAGAGTAAGGGATAACATACTCACAAACTGTTGTTTTAGAAACATGGGATAGTATACAATTACCTTTGATTCCAGCTGTGAACGTCAAAGTAGGATTCCCCCTCCACCCACCCAAAAAAAAGGCCAGTTACGTACAATGATGTAATAAAAGTTCAAAGGGCTATAGGAAAAGGAAGGTATCTGAAAAGTTTACAGGACAGGTAACATTTGTGCAGTAAGTGCTGGCTGAACAGATTAAAGTAATACCATGGAAAGGGAGATGAGCAGGCATGGCAGGAGTTAGAGAGGAAGACAGTAAAGGTTTACTTTCCGGGCTAGTGAGCTCCAGCTTGAAATGTTTTTGTTTCCTAGTGAATGTCATCCATGTCTCAGTCTTAGTTAAAAATGAATTAGTAGTTACTGATAGCTTTCCCTGAGGCCCAGTCTTGTCTTACAGTAAAAACTTAAACATTTGCTTTAAATGGTATTA